TCTCCCAAAGTGGAGGAGACGGATTGCATGATAATCTTGATAGCACCAATCTGGACCAGGAGAACGTGGTTCCCCGGATTATTAAGTCTACTGATGGAAGAACCTCGCCAGTTACCTGTCCGTCGAGATATGTTACGACAGCACTAGTCCAACATTTTCCGCGACATCCTGACCAGCCTACATCTAAATGCCTGGAAGTTATCACGCAAAATGCAGACATCCGGGTACTCTGAGCTTGCCTTGGAAGCTGTGGCAAGATCATGGAGACCTTCATCCTCTCTTATATTTGACAGATGGGATAAGTTCATCCAGGGGAGAAGACGACAAGGGATTATATCTAATACAATATCCGTCCCTGAGATAGCAAATGTTTCTACTACGTCAGGAAAATAAGTTCCGTCATGGACGATAGAAGGTTACAGATCGGCTCTTCACTCTGTAAATTCAACATGACAGACTCTCAATAGACACTTTTAATGGAACCTTACGAGCCCATGGCTAAAAGCTAGCTTACTCAAAAAATCCAGCAAAGCATCCTTCCTACTAGCCATGGCGACGGCAGAACTCCATACCTAGGACTATTCTAGTCTCAGCCATGATCAACACTGGACCTCAATCACTCTAAGATCGCTCCAAAACTTTGTAGCCAAAGATCAGTCTGCCACAATGGGACCGTTGGGCCATAGGTACTATACCATTCTGCCTTGGGACCAACAGTAGATCACCCAGACATACTTTCATGTCCCACCAGAGCTTTCAAGTTCTATCTCTCGGCTACAGACCCACATAGATGCCATAGAAGGAGACAGTCTATATCCTGCAAGACTCATTCCAACAAGGACATCACCAAGGCTACAATAGCGGCTGACTTAAGGCTACCATTGCAGCAAGTTATACGCAGGCACAGAATCCACTTCACCTCTTGGATCCTGTTCGGCTTATGAAATTAGAGCACTAGCCATGCGTCTCACTTCATGGACATACGTATCTAATCTGTTTATTCAGTACATGCGTGGGCCAGCGGCCCATAGTACAGTTCGGTTCACCAGACATGTATAAAAATACAACTGTGTACACCTAAATACACAACAGCAAGGCATTCATAGATAAAGAATATTACTTCTGCAAAAATGAATTCCTTAACTTAAAAGCGTGGTAAATATAACAAGCCAGACTTCTAATTGTTGACTGATGCAGAGACGACATAAGTATGTAAAATTGTTCTATTGATGGATTTACATAATATTTTTGAGGAATATATGTCACTCGGAGAGCATAATATTTTTCACAAACCAATACAAAATGGTATTCAGACTCAACATAGCCTGTTTTACAAACCATACATAACCTTCGCTGTCTTGGGATACCAAAATATCTCCCGGTTTCTATGTGGAGCGAGTGGGAGCTAGCTCTAAAACGTGCCAGTGCAACGCGAAACTTATTGATTGTAATAGACGATAAATAAAATTCCCTGCTAAACCTAAATTTATAACAAAGATATGATGAATACTTGGGGCTATTGGTCAAAGCAAAATGCCAATCTTGTTCATAAGAGCATTTTAATCTTTGTATGAACTCATCAATAAATGAAATAGAAATAACAAGATGCTGATTTTCCCATACGTAGCCAAAGCCATAGGCGTACAAAAGTAATTTAACTCTAGAGGCCCAATTAGTCTTACCTGCTATGGCCTGCTGCACAAGCACATTGTAACTTTTTCGTGGATAACGCGAATCGGGCATCTTTAAAATCTTACACCAATAATTCAAGCATCTTTTGAAAGCATAGATATACAAAGGGTATCTCCCACACTCTCCACGCACAACATGATTGGAAGTTGCTGACTTAACTCCTAAAATACGTTTACAAGCAAGTGTATGAACAACTTCAATCTCCTCGCAAAACGATAAAGATAAACCCCAAACTTCTGCACCGTAAAGAAGTACTGGCACAACTTTAGCATCAAAAATTTTAAAGAAAATATTCATAGGAGTAGGTTTAATTAGCTGTAGGGACTTCAAAAGCTTAAACAAAACCTTTTTAGCTTGATTAACAACATTAGATATATGTGCACTCCAAGATAGATTTCGAAAAAATAATACACCAAGGTATTTATATGTAGTTACACATTCCAACAATTTTCCATCGTAAACCCATTTTTCATATTTTGAAAGAACACTCCCATTTTTAAAAACTACTACTTTAGTTTTATCAATATTGACTGTTAATGAATAATCTTTACAATAACATTCTAACACATTGATTCTTTTCTGGAGACCATAAACAGTATCTGCTATGAGAATGACATCATCTGCGAAAAGTAATAAAAACAATTGAACTACATCTGGATGAAATTGGATACCATGTGCGCAACTGGATTCAATATCTATGGCAAGATCATTTATGAACAAGGCAAACAAAATGGGACTAAGGACACATCCTTGACGAACTCCCTTACTGCAGCTAAACATATCAGAAAATGAGTTATTGTATTTGACCAATGCCAAAACTTGTTTATAAATTGACTGTATACAACAGAACATTTTCGGAGAAATACCATTTTTGTATAGTACCATACGCAATTTGGATCTATCTATGGAATCAAAGGCTTTGGCAAAATCAACAAACAAGGCATAAATCACACCTCGTTTCTTAGCCAAATATTTCTCTATTACTGAATATAAAACAAAAATATTATCAGTTGTGGAATATCCACTCCTAAAACCAGCCTGAGACTCTACTAGTCTATCATAGGATTCCGACCAAAACTGAAGTCTTCTGTTTAAAATAGAAATATAAAGTTTACTGAATACACTTAAGATAGTGATACCCCTATAATTAGTGGGAGAATTGGCATCGCCTTTCTTATATATAGGAACAATGTGGCCAACAGCCCAAGATGAGGGAAAATATGCAGAATCAAATATAGCATTAAAGAAGAATGTCAAAAAAGGAACCAGAACATCAGGAGAAGACTTAAACATTTCTGCTATCAGTCCATCATCTCCCGCAGCTTTATTATTTTTCAATCCTGTAATCGCATCAAGCACTTCATCCTGTGAAATAGGGGAATCAAGAATACTCTGAGTTGTTTCGTCAAAATTAACATCGTCAAAAACTAAATTCTCCTCAACCTCTGAAGAAGAGTATTCACCAAATAAGTTCTTAAAGTGCTGATACCAATCTCCTAGTTCTATATTAGGAGAGCGTCTCCTTCCCTCACCAGAGAGTAGCTTCAATTGTGACCAAAATATTTTGCTGTTGTGTATGCCTGTCACCATATTACTAAGAATTTTATCTTGGTAGGCTTTTCTTTTGTTATGGAGTATATTTGTATATTTATTTCTTGCATGTAGATAGTTTGAAAGTGCCAAATGATCCCCAAGTAGTCTATAAACTTTAAGCAGTCTTTGCTTTTCAAATCTAAGAAATTCACACTCTTTATCAAACCAAGGTTGCTTATCGACTAACCAAGCAGATGGGCAAAACTTACGCATACATTCTGCTGCATTACCTAATAAATCTGAGAATAAAGTTACGTATCAGTGGAACAAGTAGTGTCTATCTGTCAATGGGCCTCACAAAACACCTTCATCAGTTTAACTTGTGTGACGTGCAACCGGACTTATTGGGCATATATTCCTTTGGACCCATTGTTGTGGCGCAAACTATCCTTCACCAATAGTTTCCCCCCTTCTTTCAAAAAAAGGGGGGATATGACACCAGCAGCATCAGAGGGATGAATACACCTTTGATTATCCTGTATATAAGGTGTAGGATGGATTTGGAGCCCCTTGAGTATTAACTGCCTGCCTCCAAAGACCGGAAGTGACGTCATCACCGAAAGTAACTTCAGCACGGCAATAGCAGTACAAGGTCCACCTAATCAGGGAATGAGATTTTTGGTAGAAATATACCTTGAGAGATGTCATTATCCAAACAAGGAAGTGACAAACCGGAAGTGAATCACAACTGGAAGTGACATCAGCATCGGAAGTGACGTCAGCACCGGAAGTAGTGTCACAATCAAAATTTAACAAGAAATTACTTTATTATTGCCAACAAGATCAGCAAATATAATGGTAAATTCTAGTGAAAATATCACATAATTGACAGATTCTTGAGACTTTCTGATTTTCAAGTCCTCAGGGGGAATTTCAGAGGAAATTATCTTGAGTTTCACTGGAAGTTACCCGCAGATCACACCGGGTCCACTGGTATATTCTGGCAAAGATGTAATAGAGGTAGTAGTTTTGTAAGAACTATTGAACAATAGTTATCATTGTTAATCATTCTAAGAATACTACCTCTATTACATCGGAAGTAACCCACCTCCCCTATTCATCTACCTCTATTGGTTAGATGTGGGAAGAAGTAAGGTTGCCTCCATTGCATACGTCATAGCTAGATTGGTTACGATGCTATTTGGGGACAACTAGTTGTGTAATTGACAGTGAAGAGGACATCTGTTGAAAATCTTAAAATTTTAGTTATTGTGACAGAAGCCAAAATACAGGATTTATGGCAAAGATGTAATAGAGGTAGTATTCTTAGAATTATTAACAATGATAAATATTGCTTGATATCTCATTTTATGAGCACCAGAAAGCATCATCTTTTGATCACATATCAGTGTGATGATTAATAAGTAACAGTAAAGTACGCTTATAACGAATTGACGGATATAACGAACTGATTTTTTTGCCCCGACTATTTGCTATAGTTATGCTGTATATATGCTTATAACGAACTACGGTTATAACCAACTAAAGTTAGTGGTCCCTTTGAGTTTGTTATAACAGTAGTTTACTGTTTTTATAACATTAAAACATTTTGTATACATTGTTCAAGGGAGTATTTAAAGAAATGTTATGTTCAGGCATGATTGTCAAAGTTGGATTTATTTTTCAAAAATTAACATACCGGTATGCAACATGTGCATAATTCTCCAGTTATTCATATGTTGCTGAAGGATGTGTTTCTCTTGTGTGTGTTTCAGGTGTAGCGTGTTTCTTTTAGAGTGTGAACTTGACCATCTGTGGATATCTCTACCTACTGATGTGCAGAATATGCTCTCATACAGTGAGCTTTTGGATCACTTCCTTATCAGCCTAACATCACCTAAAGGAGTTTCTGAAGAGGATTCTCATTTACATGGTAATGTATTCAAATAAGCAAGTAATGAAACTCTAACAATGACTGTGTTGAATGAACATACCGTCAAAGACTTCACAGAAATTTAGTCCATAAACCAAATTATGTATATTTTACATTGTTGATTTTATGTCACACAGCAATACTTTCTTTCATGACTGTTGAGCCAAACCATCATAAACTATCAGGAAAAATCATTCACCAAGTGTTCAACTGGTGATGGCACTGCCTTTTTTTCGCAAAACTGCTGCATCTTCTTTTCTTTTAACTGTAATTAATATTGACTGATACACCTAAACTTTTCATTTTTGGCTCACATGGCGTAAAGGCTTCAAGTTTGTTCAGGGATCAAAATCAGAATTGGCCACAAGGTTGCCTTCTGAAATCTTTTTTTTGTAAGGCATCTTGTTCAGAAATCAAATATGGCTGCCAGAAATCATATTGGAAAATACAGAAACTCATGAGTCATCCTTTGCAAACATTTTCTCCTCAGAAGCTACTGTAACAATGAATCTTATGCTCAACCTGCTTGTTACTACCAGTGATGACACCTGATTTTGTTCAAAATGTTTTCATTTTATTTTCAATATGGCCTTCATGGCATCTATATTGAAAAACATATGGCCATTACTCAGCCATTTTGTTTCAAAATGTAACAATATAATTCTTGTGAATACCATACCTCTGTTACATCATTGCCTTAATCCTGTATTTTGGCGGAAATCACACTATAACTAAAATCTTAAGTCCTCTTCACTGTCAACTACACTTGACTAGTTGTACCCACAATAAGCATAAACTTTCCTCAGTGTCGTTTTCTCTAGCACTTGGTTGTGTTGTCACAGTTTAGACCAGCTAGTTTTCAGTGTTTGCTAGTTACTAATTAAGTGATTCAACTAACTTGTGAAGACGTCTTCGGAAAGTTGTTTAATTGTTTCTCACATAACTTGGGTGGTGTGTTGTGCATCTGGCATGGCGTCATCGGCCTCCCCGGTCAAATGCAAGCAGTGTGGTCTGTTTATGATCTTGGGGGATCCTCATGCTTCTTGCTGGAAGTGCCATGATGGTTAATGGACTGAAGAATCTAGGTGTGATCAATTGTCTTCCCTCTCCAACGTGGTCTTCACCACATTGACTGACTCTGTCAAGAAGTCAATAAGTGCCTCATGTCTATCTCTTCAATCAATACCATAACTTCGACTGAACCGCCGCCTACCCCCGCAACTCTCATGAAACCTAACGAGCCTGAGCTGACCCCCAGTTTTTCCATCAGCATGCTGGAACAGTTGTTTTCGAATTATTTCCAAGACCATATCTGTTATTGGCATATCCCGCATATAACCATATGGGTAGCAAGTCATTATCTGTTACAGATCGTGGGACAGCACGGTCTTCAAGAAAGCGTCCGTTTGCAGCCACCATTACCATTAGAGGCACAGCACTTACTGTCAGCAATCAGATTGGGTTTATTGACAGCAAATCTACCTGTCCAGATACTGTTACCTATTCCACAACAGTACAATCTGCATGTGCAAATATCATATCCTAGTCTTGATCACCATTGGATATTGGACAGCACGGGGACCGCATGGATCACATGGACCATACCGACACCACTCGTCACCATGCCGCCATATTGGTTCTCACCTTGGACTCTACCGATTCCGAGTCAGACATTGTGGAAGATTATCCCCACAATGTGAATTATTCACGGAATTATTAGAGCAACTATATCATGTCATGCCAATTTTGAAACCCAAAACTAAAGAGACCTAATTACCACAGATGCTCGAATCGCGGGTTGCCATGCCCTGGCTCCGTCATCCCATGCTCATCATACACTTCTGTGGCTGAGGTGCTCATGTGAAGTTGTTAACCAGGCCTCAGACTCTTGTCGAAAGCTGAAACTAACTGGTATCAACTGGTTTTCACTTGAGTTCGCCATGCCTTTCCGCCACGGACTCTTATGAAGTAAACTCAGGAGATACACCACTCCCTATCAGAACTGACCAAGTCGGTTTGATCCACTCCCTTCAAAGTATCAGTGATTAAATTGGTTGTAAAAGCCCACAGCTCAGCCTTCCAGTACAAGTGCCCAAGGGAGTCTATGAGAGACACCATCGGAAAAAGAGTAACCACATTGTCCATTGGATACTCCCAGACAGTTGGACTACAGGCACAGGGGAATTAGTCAAAGATTATCCAAACCCAGAAGTCTGGTTGATCGCTGTATTTGATTTCATACCTTCCCCTCCCATCATTTCTGATCCTGTTGACTTAGCTTTGTCTACAGACTCAGATTTTTGTCTACCACCTCTTACCATAATGCCGATGTGGGGTCCAGTGGTAGGACTTTTGTCATACGCTGAAAGTTGGATGCAGATTACGTCCAACCGTTTGATTCTTGACATCGTTACAAAAGGATACAAGCTACACTTCATACATCCTTTTCTCCTTGTATCCTGGCCAGTAGACTTAAAATTCCATCTGGAAGGGACCAAATTAGAGTGAGTGAGTGAGTGAGTATGGTTTTACATCGCTATTAGCAATATTCCAGCAATATCATGGCGGGGGACACAAGAAATGGGCTTCACACTGTGCCCATGTGGGGAATTGAACCCGGGCCTTCAGTGTGACGAGCAAACGCTTTAACCACTAGGCTTCCCCACCGCACCCGACCAAATTAGAAACAGCCGACTTGGCCAATAGGATGTTACTAGAAAAACATGCCATTCGGTATCTACAAGATTCCGATTACAGCAAGGGTTTCTACTCTCCAGTTTTCATAGTCCCAAATCAACAAGTCATTTCTAGTTCCTCCCCCAAATGGGGCCTGATTTCAACTACTATTCAGACGTCTCTGAACTCAGGAAGATAGTTTTTCAAGGCATTGATGATGATCAACACTGTAACAGCCCATCCCACTTGCTCTTTTCGATGGTGGATCTCTCCTTTAGGTAACCTTACTTCTCTCCAAGACAACATGTGCAGACAGAAATTGAGATTACATTCACTCCAAAGCTGGATCAACTCACTGAGATCTCGGACCTTAGTCTCTCTTGTGCAGATGCCACACAACCTGATAGTGGAACGCAAGTGTTCAACTCAGAGAAATCATGTAATGAAGGGTGTTCCACTGGTCTTCCTGACTCTCGAACATCACCTTTTCATTGCACAAATCCGACTCAGGTTGGGGAGCCCACATGGACAGTTTCAAGATCCAGGGCTCATGAGCTAAAGTAGGTGACGACAGGTTAACTTAAATAAAATATTAAACAATGTAGACATAACTTTTGTCTTATTGAATAGTATGTCTGTTAGATGGGTTCTTGTTACCTGAGTGAGTGAGTGAGTGAGTGAGTTTGGTTTTACGCCGCTTTTAGCAATATTCCAGCAATATCACGGCAGGGGACACCAGAAATGGGCTTCACACATTGTACCCATGTCGGGAATCGAACCTGGGTCTTCAGCATGACGAGCGAACGCTTTAACCACAAGGCTACCCGACCGCCCCCTTGTTACCTGAGGCTAGTATCTATCTAAAAGCTGTAACTGAAACTAATCTTTTGTATCTGCATTTTACCTGGATCCTATTACTTGCTGTTCTATAATTATATGAAAATTTGTGTACATGTTACATCATGATAACTTATAAAAGCCCTTGTTGTGGATCTAATTATTACATAAAACCTAAGTATAAATGTTACAGCATGATAACTTCCCTTCAGTCTGGAACATATGGACCCCAAACTTGTAAAATAAAGAAAATATTGCTTAGATGGACAATGTATGATATTAAACTGGTATTATAGTAAATAAAAAATATTATAGAGTCTGTTTGGTATAAGGAAACAGGATGTAAAGTTCTTTCTGCTGTCATCAGGGAATTTGGATGTGGAATCTAGCTGGCTGGTTTTGGCACTCTTTACTGATAGATTTTGTGACTGAGGTGCCCTAGGATGCCTTGATATAGTTCCATATGATGGTTTGAGGTTTCGGATTGTTGGCTGTGTCCATTATCCGTTATTATGAGAAGTTTTACATGAAAACTAAAGAAAAGAGAGTTAGCTTGTTCAAATAATATGTCATACATAAAAATTATCCATACTTCCTTTGTGTGCATGTTATAATTAGAAAATTAAAAATATAGTAACTATGCTGTAAATATACTCTTTAGATCATCATGTATGGGCGGCAAATTACACAATGCTGAAGGTATTGGTAAGCAACATGCATCTATCATGTGCTATCCCAACTCCAATGGATTCATACTGAATCTTTTCCATTCCATTATGTAGTAGTAGACCCAAGGGCTGTGGTATCTTGTGGCTACAGAGGTTTGTGGCAGAGTTTATGGCTGAACATTGGTAGGTTCTTCGTCACTTGTGCCTTAAAGGGGCACTAATCTCTGGCTTCTATTCAACTGTCTAACACTGCCCGCTAGGGCTCACTAGCTGCCGTGAGTCAATTCTGTAAGGACAGCGAAATAAAGTTTGTGGCAATATCTGTTTTCCGAATTTTTGAACACTGATTGGTGATTGCTGAAGATTTCAACAAAGGGCTCATGTTAATTAATTTCTTCAGCCTAAAGAAACAGACAAAAAGAACGGTGGAAGCTCATCGGATGTTGTTATTTGGAAATATCAAACAATGATTCTAAGAATACTACCTCTATCACATCATAGCCATAAATCCTGTATTACTATTACTAGATTACTAAATCTTCAGATTTTCAACAGAAGTCCTCTTCACTGTCAACTACCCACAACTAGTTGTTCCCCTAATGGCACATGTAGCTCTTCAGCTCTTCTGTGCGAAAAGGCAGGAAAAATGTCACTTCTTTCAAAAACATCTCACCACTGGAAGCAGATGAATTATGGAGGTCTGTGGGAGTATTTCCTGATGTAGTATTCTTAGAATTATTAACAATGATAACTATTGTTTGATAATTCCTGCGAATCCTTAACCTCTGTTACATCATTGCCAAAATATACCAGAGGGAT